AGAAAGGCAGATGTGCACGTATTTGTATCCCAGTAAGCACCACCTAGCAGTTACATAACATCGATATTATTGATGTTACGTAATTTCCTACTTAATTTAATTTATGTGCAACACATGTTACATTTGTATTGTTGAGTGGGAAATTATAATGTTGATGTAACTTGGTTGGTTTTTACGGGGATGCGTGCTAGCATTTCCTGAACACGCGTCACATAATTATGTTTGCGCACGTGCTGAGGCAAATCTCAAGTAATGACGCAGTCGTGGTAGGTGGTAAAAGATGGTGTGATGTGTTAACTAAAAAAGAAAGAAAATGAAGCAGCGGAAGATAGAGTTTAAAGAGCGAACACTCGGTGGATTCTGTTAAATCTCGATAATTTACTCTGATTGTATTGCGCTCTTATTACCATTTCTTAACGAATATTGATCGAATATAATAGTCTTAAGGCTTGTCTAGACCCACGGTCCGACGTGGCGGCCCGATTGTAACATATTAGACAATTATCGATGATTTCAAAACGGAATGTCGTTGTAGCATGTCGTTGTTGCGCGCATGTCGAGTGGAGATCGAGTGTAATCGCTCTCGCGACAATTATTGTACTGTAAAGACATAAGAATGTCTGTTCTTGTGTGCCTACATGTCCTCTTCGTTAAAGTGATTCGTTCGAACGGAAGAAGAAAATGCAGTTATCTTCCTCGCGTTTCGTTTTGTCTTCTTTGGATGCAAGTGACTTCGCGGACGTCTCGCTCGTCTAATAACATTACGAATTAGCGAATGTCTCACGGCACGCCTGCACGCGAGATACCAAGAGCAGGAATAATGTACATAGCGTATACATATAAACGAGTAATTTTTCCTCGCGTCAACGGCCGCGTGTAAAAACAGACGATGTGATTCGGTACTCGGAGAGAGGATCGTAGATCCATCATCGTGGACCGTCCCAGTGGACACCAACTGACAGTTACATAACATCAATGTTATAATTTTCCACTCTCAACAATATAAATGTAATATTACAAGTGTTGTACGTAACACCCTACCCTAGTAGCACAGTGCAGTGACCAACTATTGGTTAAACATTGGTCCAATACAATGAAATATTGGGCCAATGTTCAGCTAATGCACTGTGCTACTAGGGCAGTTGCATTGTTGAGTAGGAAATTATAGTATTCATTGTTATGCGTGCCGTTAGTCGGTGTTTCCTGGGGTGACGCGCCAATCGAATTCGTTGCAATGCGATTACCGGATATCGCTCTTTTATAAACGGATAGAACAGGGAACGATCTCGCGAAGAGAGAATATCGAGTCTTTTTCGTTTTGGCATGTCAACGTGACACTTTGTCCCGCTTTCAAAACGGTCTCGTTCGGCTTCAAGCCGCAGACTCTGTAACGAGGCGTAATTGTAAGAGACAGAAACTTATCCGCTTTCAGCCGGACAGGCTCATGATCAAGAGCGAGATACTTGGACACGAAGTACATATACGAAATTCTGGAGTTCTTCAAACGTTTGTCGAAGTTTCACCCTCGTAGATTTCGTCCTTGATCTTCGCATTGTGAAGGAAGTCCTTTCATTGTCTTGTATCATCTATTTCGCTGTAATTCGTGTCACGGACCGGAATTCCAATATAAATATAATAAAATGTCTGATAAAGCGTCAATCTTTCGATAATCCACGACTCTCGTTCACGATTTGGCCCCGCTGTCGATTGATTAACATTGGAGTGCGGAGATGGGCGTAATTTCGGTGGAGTTCGATCTCTCGTCGCGTGGTGAGGGGTTTGTAGCAGTGCTATTGTCTCGAAGAATCAGAGAGAGATTTGTCAAGACCCGAACTCGAGAAATTATGCCGATTTCCATTCTGATTAAAACGCATTGCCGTTAAGGGTTTCAATTACGTCCGATTGATTTCAGTAGCGTGTTTCCCCTCACGAGCCGTAGTCAAAAGAAGAGAGGCAAGCGATATGCACGATTTAAGGAAGAATCTTCATAGACGCTAGTGAAGCCGCATGTGTAGTAAATGTATAAAAGGTAGAAAGGAGAGAGTACGCGCCGATGATAGTTGCTATCCCCCCCAAGAAAATTCCAGCTGCAAGTTCGCCATTGCGTTGCTCTTCTGAAGAAACGGGGTGCGATGAACATGCAGAGGAATAAAAGAAGAAGAATCTCGAAGAGATCCTCACCCGGAGAATCTGTTCTCCCAATACACGAAGCACAAAAGAAGATCACCGGTGTTCTAGTTGCGTCGCGCAAGGCAGAGATGTGCGACAGACGACGGTGATGCTAATTAGAGTTTGCACGTTTTGTCACATCCAGGATCATCTACTACGCGACGCCTGATACTCGAATACTCGGATCCGGCGACGCCGGAGGGAACTTATGATTTTGTCGACAAGAGGAGCGTCAACTGATCGTGTCATTTCTCGGGGAAGAGGCTTGATTAGCGAACGGAGGAAATAAATTCTCCGATGATCGGCGAGCTACCTCACCGTCGAGGCTCCACGAGGCTTTTTCCTCGGGCGCAAAACTTGGAACGCGAGGAGAGGACGTCTCGAGCTCAGGGGACTCGCTCAGAACTATTGAGGACGAGTCGTCGCAATTGAGGGGGAATTCTTCGCGGATTTTTACTTGACTTTTCGATCGATCGACACTACGCGAACCTACACACCAGGGCTGTTACTTTTGACAACTTCGAGGATTCGAGGCCTCGAAGCTTCGAATCACTTCGAAGCTTCGAAAGTTCGAATGCCGAAGCCTTCGAAGGAAACCACCAGTCCTGCTACATACCAATGCGCGAAAGTGAGAGCGTGTGAATGAGCGTGAGAGAAAGAGGAGAGAGAGAGAGGATGCGTTGATATAAACTGGAAGCGGCAAGCTATCGACGAGCATTACTGCTAATTGCAAGTACCAATAGGGAGAATCGAAGTGAAGTCTTATACATAATGATTGTCGAAATGTAAATTGTGTTTGGTTGTGTATCTTGCGTTATACGCCTCTGACGCTGAATATAATGGAAATTCAATCAAAGACCCGTGTGTGCTGGCTCTCCCTCCCTGGAACGCGCTCGGAGGAAATAGTCTTCAGCGTCTACGTTTCGACGAAAGAGAATCCCCGTGATTCAATCTGTACTTCACCCGCAGCGAAACCGGGCGTTTTCATTTTTATCATTGTATTGTTTTTCTCTTTCATATTAATTTTACCATTATTTGTAATTTATCGTTCACAATTGTATTATTGCGTTTATTCTTAGAAGCTTTGGCGTTTCTTCTTATAAAATATTTGTAACTTATCATTCGCAATTGTATTATTGCGTTATTCTTAGAAGCTTCGACGTTTCTTCTTATATAAAAAGGAAAGGAACTTTAACATTTTTAAGACTAGTAGGAATATTCTTAAAAGTCGCCAGCAGTAATTAACAGCATGAGTGATTTTTATTGGCCGTATCTGGCAATTTTTATAATGAAGATTTGTGCCTCGGTGGTCGAGTTGGTTGAGACGCCCGCCCAGAGAGAAGGGAGATTCTACGAAATCACCTTATCTTACAATAGATAGCGTTTCGCGCGCACATGGCACATGATCCGCTCGCTGGCACGGGCGGTCAGGTCGCTGTACAGTGCTCCGGGGAGCTCATCGAGAATGAACGGGAATCCGTTGGAGAACGCCAAGAAAAATGCGGCTTACAAAGCCGTCAACGAATACGTCCAGGTAAATTGATTCACTTGAGAGAAACCGCGACTGTCGCTTGCCTGTCGAGGTTATATCAACACTTGTCTTCCAGAACAACACCGCCGTCGGGATCGGCAGCGGGTCCACCGTCGTTTACGCCGTTCAGAGACTTGGTAATAGCGATATTTAATATTTACAATTGTGCCCTGTAATTGCAAATGATTTTCATTAAAGATGCGCACTTGGAACGTTGCACGTTCAGTCAGTTACCTCAGCATGGAGATCCATGAAAAGTGAGATAAAAGTTATTGAAAAGTTATACGTTGTTTTAAAAGAAATCATAGTTCTCCTTATGAAGTTCAAAACGCTGCGAAATGCAAGGAAAAGACAACTCTACCCATGCAATGTATAAAAGGATAATTTCCTATGTATGATTTTCAGCCGAACGTGTTAAAGAAGAAGGTCTCAGTGTTATCTGCGTTCCCACATCGTTTCAAGCCCGTCAACTTATACTAGATAATCATTTAACCTTGGGTGACTTGGAAACTCATCCGCAGGTAATGTTTTAATAGTCATTTTCTATGTCGTATTTCTTATTGTATATTTTTACTAACGCTATCTAATATGCACACAGCTGGATTGCGCAATTGATGGAGCGGATGAAGTCGATGCCAACCTGAACCTCATCAAAGGTGGAGGAGGGTGTTTGTTGCAAGAAAAAATTGTCGCTTCCTGTGCCAAGCGGCTTATTATCATAGCAGACTATACGTGGGTATCAGCGTGTCTATTGCTACTGAACTTGTTGCAGTCTGTGTCGTTGCGACACAGAGATTAAGTAATTTCGTCCATTTTTCCTCGTGTCATAGAAAAATTTCACAAAGGCTTGGCGAGCATTACAAGAAGGGGATTCCTATCGAAGTGATTCCTATGGCGTATGTACCAGTTCAGCGTAGAATTGAAAACAGCTATGGGGGAACTGTTAAGATCAGAATGGCAGTCGCGAAAGCTGTAATTATATTTTCGTTGTCGAGATTAATATTAAGGAACATATGACTAATATAATTTATATATTATTTGTACAGGGTCCAGTAGTGACAGACAATGGTAACTTTATTCTGGATTGGCATTTTCCTCAAGACCTAACGTGCTTGGACAAAACTAACAATGAAATATCTTTGATACCCGGAGTCGTAGAGACTGGTTTATTCTTGAATATGGCTGAGAAAGTTTTCTTTGGTATGTTGGACGGCAGTATAAAGGAGCAAAAGTAAATTGAACTTTCTGAAATTGAATGGAAAGCGTTAATGCGCGTGAATTACGTTGTTGAGCGCAACTGTCCGATAACCTATGGATAATACTGTCAGATCAAGATTCTAGATAACCCGTTTTTGCGACCTTGCTTTTCATTTTGCGTCAGAATGAAATCACTTTATCATTGCAGTTTTTTTATACATTTTTTACATTCCCGTTTGCTATGTATGCAATATATATACGTATATATACACATTTATACGCTTTTTTACTTACTATTATATAAAACTTATAATTTAGTTAAAGTGTAAATAGTAAGTGAATTTTTACATGTGAAATGTACAATACAAAGCGTTCATCTCGAAGTACAGCCATAAAAATAAATATATAAATATGTACAAATAAGAATTATACAAATAAAAAACCTTATTTAGATTTTATATTATTTTAAATATTTTTTATGTTTATGCACGTATAATTTCACAATTTTAAGTAAGTTTAGTTTCATAAACAAAGAATCTACAGTACACCAACTATAGTATGTTTAGTATTTATATAAAAAAATGGATAAATCCAAAAATAAATTCGGTACATTCAAATTCATTGAATTATTATTAACGGTTAATATGTCTGTGTCTAAAAAAAATTTCTCGTCTTACAAAAAAAAAACTCGCCCGAACAGGGACTCGAACCCTGGACCCTCAGATTAAAAGTCTGATGCTCTACCGACTGAGCTATCCGGGCGACTACGAGACTTCAGGCTTAATATTGTACTGTATCTCACTTAATTGATAATTTGTATATATGTATATATATGAATTGTATATTAAAATATAAATAATTAATATTTTATAATAAATGATAATACGTGTTCTATCTCTTTCTGTTCATATCTTGTAAAGTTTAAAAAATTAATTGTTTTCTTAGAAGATAAGTATTTAAAAAATTAATACGTGTTAACATTCTCTTGTTCTTTTCGTCTACTTTTTGAGAAATTGATTTGCATCGAATGCTTTTAAGAATCACCATGTTGGGTGCATTCGTATAAAATCTGGACCGCTATAAACGTATCTGTTTTTTCTCTTATGCGACGGCTATACATTTTGCATATGTATATGGCACATCTCTTATTCATAAGTGAACTATCATCCAGTAGCTATGAGCGGATTTACTATTCCGCATCGTTAATTTAGCGCCAATAAAATACCCCTAAAAGATCGCCATAGAAAGCATTAGAATCAGAAAATGACCATTTCAAAGATCTTCCCTTAAATTAGTTTATTGACTTCTATAAAAGGTTAAACAGTCCCAGTCAGAATTGACTCGTAGATCGATGTCGAAACGACGTCGAATCGACGTCAATATGACGGTTTCGATGTCGATATGACGTCGTTTCGATGTCGACCGACGAGTCATTTCTGACTGGGGTGCCTTCGGTTGGCCGCTAAAAAAAACTTGGTTTCTTTTATATTACTAAAATACATAAAATTTTCTTAGTTGTATTTTTGTGAACCTACATATTTTAACATCTTTTCAGGCAATTTTACTGAAAATTTTGTTGACGGTGAATACGTTGAGCGAAGGAAAAAAAGAAAAGAAGAACGTGAACAGCTACTGGCTGACCAGGTTGAACGACCTAATCAACTCAGCGGGTCCTGATGTGAGAATGGTGTAAGTACTTAACGCCAGCTGTTTTTCCTATGATTTTTACACGGAGACTCTTATCGGCCGACCTGCCATACTTCGCTTCTTGGCATCGGTTTAATCGACACTAATCCCCAATTCCAATACCATCGCTTTCGACTTCTCTTTGCATAGAGTCCAGGCTCTCGTTTGTTGTACGTAAGTACACGATAAATCATGTCCACGTCGAGCGCTAGAAGGAGGTATTTATAATATATATTACCTCATCTTCCACCTGTGAAAACTGAAAAGCGAAGCATTTATTTTAACTATTTGCCACTGCGATATCGGATATCTCTTTCATCTTTAATTTGCACTTGTGATTGCCAAATGTCGCAGCACAGTTTCACATACAACGACTATCCAAATTCATGCACATCTAAGAGTTACTTATAATAATTGTTACATATTATTTCTAAATTCCTGGTCAGAAAATCTAATATGCATCTCTATCGAATATTATCAAAAGAAATCATTCTATCTTATCAAATGCTTGCGCTAATAAAAATTTGTCGTGCAAAACATATTAGAGATCTAACGAAGATCTAACTCTTACAAGTTTATTGCATTAAAAAATCAGAAAAATAATATTTCAACGATATAAGATTTTGTGTAATAATGTAACTTTGAAATGATCGAAAATAATTATATTTCTTGAGAAACAATGGACATCCCTGTGATCTCAATAATCGACGCTGTACACATATGTCAATTTTTATTTCGTGCTTTTAAAGCGCAATAAAATCTGCTATGGACTATGCTACAATTTTTACGTGAAAAATATCAATCAAATCGTCATTGTACTGTAATGGATTTGGATATTTTGTATCGTTTTGAAATCTGTAACCAATTAGTACAATATCGTAACGAAGTGCGAGAACGAGAATTCTCTCGCGGGCGGTACGCAATAAAATAGTTGGGATGCGTTGCTACGTCAATATGCCATTGAGACTTAAACTGTTAAATCCCGTGACCTATGATAACTTATGATCCGCGAATCTTAAGGGACAACATGAATTATTAGATCTGCATAAGATGCATACTCTACGAACAGTCACGGAATCAGTGTTCGACTATAATCTATAGCGAACAGTTAGAGTTAGATTATGCAAACTCTTGTGTGTGTGTGTGTGTGTAACGAAGAAATAATTTTGTCTTCCAAAAATAAAAATTTCGCTGCTATTTATAATTCTACATGTTTACACATATTAGAAAATATTAAGAAATGATTCTAAATAAGGAAGTGATGTCTTATAATTAAGTGACTGATTTATACGATTGATTTAAATGCATTAAAGTTCGTGTTAAATAAAAATTTATACGATTAAAATTAAGTGTATTAAAGTTAAAAAATGAATTTTCTTTTGAATTAAGTTTGAAGTTTAACAGATAAAATGTATGTGTGGGGGGAGAGAGAGAGAGAAATTGATATTCTGATAGTTATAGAATAACCATTATTGATATAATGGTTATTAATAAATTGTGTGCTATCGTTCATCTTTTTTATTAAAAGTAAAACAAAATAAAAATCTTCGACCGCGCACCCACGCAGAGTGTTTCCTGTTTGCATCCCCGCCTAGCAAGATTTAACAATGGAAAAAAAAGATAGTCTCTCGGGAGAGAGTTAAACCGGATGTGTAAGTCGCTGAGAAAATCGTAGATCTGGAACGTGCCCTCGGCGAAGAAGGGTTTTTTTCAGGTGTAAAATATGATCGCCGTCCGCGCCCTTGCGGTCATGCGTTCTCCAAGCGCTTGCATCCACCCCGTGATACTTACCACAACGAGGAGGGGATTGGCGGGGATTGTATTTGAAGAGCGACCGCGCGATTTCACCCCTCAAACGAGAGGGAGAAGCCACGGCTTCAACCGTGCGCGACTGTCCTTTGGCGTACGAACGCGTATCCCGTTTCGACATTTGATCGAGAACGTAACTTCTTCTGAGGTGGTGCCGCTTCAGGGGTGCGTCTTGAGGAGTCCGCAGGTCCTATAAACCGCTCGAAAAGAAGATCGCGATATGAAGGTTGGTTGTGTGTACATTGCGGTGCATTAATTCGCTTCGGGTCGTATTGTCAAAAAGCATCTATGTTTAAATAATCGAGTAATTTTTGTCCATCCCTAATTATTACCCGAATTGAATCAATGCACCGTACTGTATGTGTGTGTGTGTACATATATATATATTTTTTTTAATAATAACTGTATGAAGTATGTAGAAAGTAAAATTGATTTAAAATGTTTATGCAGTGATCGAGATCAATTTTATCTAGTACACGTCGCCACTTTTGAACTTCACACTTTTGATACATACATGTATGTGTTTCAAAAATATTTTAAATTAACCACCACAACATCTTGCGTATATTTATATCGATTTATAAAGACATTGCGAAATATTTTATTATATTTAATTATTATGTAGAAAGTAATATTTTTATATCATAAAATAATTGAAAAAGAATTGGATAACAAATGATAAGTGACAAGTAAAAAGGTGTTGTGAGAGTTCAACGCGATTGACGGTGCGTAAGTTAACGTTTTATTGTTTTTTAATAATTAAAAGGATATGTGAATCGGACATTTCGATTCCGCTTTAAACCACCTTCGGCAATGGTAACGATTAAATTACAATGATCTCTCGTTCTGGCGAGAAATAAGTAACTAAAATTTGGCTGTCTAAAAGGAACGTAATTTTCCGCGAGGAAATTCAAGTAAAACTCGGCTAATGATCATAGTTTATTATATGAGCGAAATCAAAAGACGGCTTAAAGCGGAGCCTAAACGTCCGATTTATAATTATGTAATATTAATTATTAAAGATCGATATAATGTTAGCTTACGCATCGTCAACCGCGTTGAACTTTTAAAGCCCGTTTTTATTTGTCACTTGTTCAGTTTAAAAAGAATTCTTATGATGAAATATTCATCAACTGTGGAAACGTTTTATTAAATGCTACGTACATACAGATTTAGATCACGCATTTATAAAATGAGAGATCTTGGCTGGAACATACTTAATTATTTTGATTGCTATTATTAAGATTGCATAGATACATATTAATAAATTTAAAGATTTGTAATTAAAATAGTAGAGAAGCTCGAGTTCGAATCCTGGCTGAGATAATATTTTTCGCAGTAAATTATTTACAGATTATTTCTGAAGGATGTTTCATTAACAAAAGTATTAATAATAAGTATAATTTTTAAAAATATTAAATTTAAGTTATTATTATTATTACGCTAGCGCCAAAGCCCCTCGTCGAGCCATGGCTTCCACATTAAATTTAATTACTTATAAATTTATAAGTGCTAACGAAAAATTGATTTCTTTTTATATCAATCAAATATTACAAATACATGCAGAACATTTAATTACCAATTAATAATTTTAATAAACGAAACATGACATTATATCAAGTTCCAAGTGCAAAATAATTTTTAAATTTGAATATAGATAGCAAAACTAAATTTTTTACATAATTTGCAAAAGCTCTACTTTAAATAAAAGAAATTTAATTTGTGGCCTACAGTACATCTACTAATACATTTAATATTTAAATGTGACAAACAGTGGTATGTAAACTTTCCCTAATAAATTTATATGTTAAAATTCACTCTTGACTTAAGAAAATACGCAAATATTGAAATTAAATGCATACATTACGAACATGTTACAATAATAAAAAATTACAGATTTAACCTGTGGGTGCCGGTGCCGGGATATAACAAATGTTACCGATTGTTTTTACAAGAACAACTGCATATTAAGTGAATGATGATGTAAATCCTGTTTTTTTTACTCTCACATTATGCAAACCAATTGAAATTTTCTGCGAAACGTATTACATTAAAAGAAATGTTAATAGATGCGATGCGCGGAATCGTTATATCGATTATCTCCGCTAAGTTAATTGAATCAAATCGAATGCATTTCGTATAGCGTTCCAAATAACGTAACGACTTCACTAATTGTTAATTAACCATAATATAATACTGATCTTGAATGTTTAAGCAGCTTAAACGCCGGCTCTATGCATTCTGTACAACGCTTATGTAACGCGAACATTTGTTGTAAACCGTTCGTACAGGATCACAGCGTTCGCCTGTCAGCTATTATTTTTATCACATCATTCGTAACACCGTTACGAAAAATGTCGAAATAGCTTTGTGTCTGTTAATTCCTTATTTCGTTACGCAGATTACTAAATATCTTTGCTGCACTCTGGCTTGGATGTGCCTGTTGAAGGTGGCAAATACTGAGATTTCAAGAGACAAGGTAAAATTGTCAATTTCAATGCATCATTTACCCAATTTACCCGAGAGCGTTTTTTAATCTTTTAACTGCGTATAACTTGTAAACTTGTAACCACAAAAATATCTATTTTTGTAAACGTTCGTTTTTTTAAATCAATAATTGAACGACTAATACGAAAAAAATCTCTCATGTACGATTCTGTTTTATGTAAATACAATGGATTAACAATAAGAGGATTATTTTCTGTACAAATTTAATAAGCCAAATATCAACCGAATTTCTCACATTTTGGAAAGATAAAAATGATCCTAATGGAAGTGGGTGGGCAGAATTCACTTTTACAGTTCGAACGGCAGCTTCTAAATGCCTTAAAAACGGACAAAACAATCAAGTCGAAGAGACCATTTTGCAATGCTTTCACGGGTAAGAGATAATTTTTACCTTTATTAGCGATTAACAATAATCTCCACAGATAATTTCAAATATTTTTTAAAAACTGAACATTTTTCAATCTTTGTAAAAACATTTGTACTGAATAGGTCGTAAGGCATTGTACGACATATATGATTTTAAGCTTTTTAGGAATCGATAAAGTATTTTTGGTGTCTCGCAGGATGCGGCAGATTTATTGCGGAAGAGAGAAGAATGAAAAAGAGAGGACCTTTCACTCTGCGGAACTTGCAGGATCTTGAAGTGACGAGCGACAACGTTCAGCTTCCGGTTTCTCTGTACAGGGCACTGTTGAATGCGGCCAAGCAAAACGTTTGGAAAGCGATGAATCGCGAGGAGTTTGATTATCGGTTACAACAAACGCCGTGGATTTATCTCTCGGGTCAAACGCCTCTACGCGACACTACGGAAAGTTAATTTTGATGGACGTAGCGTGATGCATGGGCACCGCCAGAATTTGTAACAGATGGAGTTATCTTTAAATGCGTATTGCGTGTCGACAATTGTTTATCTACAATTCTAATTGAATGTTACTTATCTATAATTCTAATTAAATATTGTATGAGAATTGTGTTAATGAGATTACACCGTTTTAATTGAAGCTTGTTTCGCAGTCGTATTTCCTCGCGTCCACTTTGCGGTGCCCATGTCTTGATTATTTTCGTTTTTTCCGTCCCGGAAAGTAATTGAAAAATATCTAAATTGAAATGAGAATATTGTACAATTATATGTTATTTTATTTTAGGTAATAACTTCCGAGAATTTTATCGCTACGAATGTATTATTCACGAAAGAAGCATATAAAAAAAAATGTAATCAGTATAATATTGGTGTTAGCTAGAATTAGATTAGAAATATTCATTTATTTGCAGGAGCACTTTGACGATTATGCATTTATTTGTACATACCTTATCCTCCCGACATTTCAATTAATTTGCCGACAGTACATTTTTAAATTTACATATTTTTTGAATGGCTGTTAAATTGGATCTGAATATTGTATTCAATAAATTCTATAAAATCTGTTCTCTAGTTAATTAATACGCAAGACAATGACTTTATTCATTTTGCTCTTTCTCGTTTTTTTTAATGAGAAATTACGATACATAGTGTGCTTGATAACAGAGGCAAAAGTATTAGCAATGCTGTTTGTAGCAATATTGCAGGACTATCAGCATTGTAACGCTGATAGTTACACAGTTACCTTAGATAGTCTACAGATAAACGAGAAGTTTGATTAGTACACTTCCGTTCCACATGTACCTGGCGTTTCCTGAATATCGTTGGGACGATATTGATAATGATTTTGATAGAATTACACGCCTGGGAATACTCAGTCCGACGCACTCCGGATTATCTGCCGCACCTGCGGGTCTACCCCAGAAATCTTCTGTGCAAAGTGTAGCCGGATCCCAAATTCGAGACCGTCGGTCCTCACGCACGCCTCTCAATGACTGATCTAATACCTGTCGAGTCGCATTACATCGATATCAATTATTTATATATGTATAAATAAATACCCGACGTCGCATTTTATTAATAACACAATACGAGAAATATTAAATCTAATTAAATGGAAAATAAACCGCTGAGACTGTGTTATCTCTGCTTGTTTCTTTGCATAAATATATTGTTAAAGCAATATACTTTTTATTATTGTAAATTAAAAATTGAGTAAATGTAAAAAAAAGTGTGCAATTAATTCAATAAGTTTAATCTTTATTTCTTAATAATTAATTTATTAGTTTTAATATCCTTTTGTTTCCTTAATTCTTGAATAATAAACTTCGTAAAAACGTAACAGGGAATGCATACGAAGATTTAAATCGTAGATAATACGCAAAACGTAAAATGAGGTGGAAAAACATCTATTTGTGGAAGCATTCAAATTATCTAATATTACCGGTCATATATTATAAAATATATTATATTTATCCAAGAATAATAAAATAGAGACGTAAAACAGTTCCATGGCACATCGAATCTCTTTTTTTTTTGTAATAGGATACGAGCAGCAAGGGATCGCATATAGTCACTTTCTAACTTCGTTTGAAATCATTCGATTTCGCGTTAGGAAGGTTCTTCTGTCCCGAAAACGTCTGGAGAAATTTTCATAAGTAGCTGACGACGAGGATTCGATACGACGTCCCGGCGCAATGCTTTTCCCCATTCCAGATTAAAGAGTCGCCCACGGGCCCTCCTTTGTACTTCGCAATTGTATTTACTCGTACGATTCGAGGACCTCTTGTAAAATTTTATCTTATTCGGGGGGTTACCGACTTTTATCCCCAGGATCGTCCAACTTTGGCTTCATCGTGTCCCTGTGCGTACCTCGAGGCGGATTCTGTGAGGAAACGGCCATGCGAGAGCGGAATCGTAACGGCCGCGGGTTAATCCGACACCCACGAAGACCGTGCCATCGGGAAAGTATTTCGGAGTGATTTTCAGATACATCGCGTAGCCGCTGCGACCCGCGTAAAAGGTCAGGCTTCGCATCGAACGGCCGGTCTGCCAGCTTGCTAGCATCACGTTGAAGTTGCTCACCTGCCAGTAATAGGCGAACGCACTTGTCGCCGAGCCTGGAATAAGGATGATTTCTTGTTAATTTGGAATTTTTATTGTTTTCTTCCGTTGGCCTATTATTTTCTGTAACTTTTATTTCCAACAAACATAGATTGCCGTTGCCAGGTATTGCATCCTTTAACATCTGGAACTCTTTTCTCGATATAATTCATTACGCGAGTAATTAGCTGATTACGCAGATAAATGAAGAGTTGAAAACCAAATCAGGACAAAGTAAGTTATGGACTATAAAGTATTAATAAAATTCATAAAGCTCTGACGTGAAGTTACAATTCAAAAGAATAAAGGATATAAGAGCCAAGGATGTTCGTGTTTACATGATTTTAATTTTTTAATTTCTTCGAAAGTATCATCAATTTAATCCGACGCCCACTTAGCGAGAGGAAGGTCCAGGTTGAATCTCTGGCCGAGGTAAATTTTTCGCAATAAATTTATAAACTAAAATCATTTAGACACTAACATCTTGTCTTGGCTCTCATATCTTTTATTCCTTTGAATTATAAAGTATTACTTTTAATTTAATTTGGTGTAAATCTTGCATTGGCCATCAAGTCACATGAGATATTACGCAGTCAAACTAAAAATTATTTTGTTAATAATTTACTGTATTAAATATTCATTTAAATAAGTCTGCCAAATAAGTGAACCAAATTTTTGACGCGCTGCCACATTTGCCATATAATATTTGATACTTTATTGCGTATTTTAACAATTAAAATGAAATAAAATAAAATAATACAACCACAAATTTAATGGCAGTCGCATTATAAGTTTTACCAGTTTCTCGGCGGATTACGCGCAGCTTTTACTATTTAAACGCAACGGAGTTAAGCATGTACCTACCGCAACTCGAAACAAATCTCGGTACTTCGTTCCACTATTCATTTTGTTTGAATCATGTTTATCCCGACTAAGCTTCAGCTTTGTCGTCCCATGGACAAGCGAACTCTCACCTTACCCTCCCTCCTCAACGCAGAATCCATTTACATAAAACCACGGATCTCTTACATACAAATGCTTAGCTTACGTTATGAAGTATAACAATGCATATTATGCAAGAAATGCAAGTCTTCTACACGCGTCATCCGCGTTATATTTCGGATCTCATTATTCCAGAATAGAATTTTACATACACACGTGCGACAACACACACGAAGCTAGAATGTCGTATTTTGCGTAGCCTTAGCTTCTGGAAAATGAATTAAACATTATTCAAGTTGAAAGTGACTGAAAATAGAATTATCTTATTTCTACATTGAACTTTGCAGCTCGATCAGATTGTACAGGAATTACTTGTTTGTTCAAACTTAAAATTAATTATTTTATGGCGATTATTAAAATTTGCAACAGATTGTCATTTATTTGAAATTAAAACTTCAATAAAAGAGATTTAGAATGCGTTTTAGCTTCGACATATATAAACGTTGTTTCCTAGAACCGACGTACACACATGTTATGTTAATTAATGCAGAGATATTAAAATAGAAGTTTCCTTTCGATTGTCGTACATGTGTACAGCTAATTAAAGCTTAACAACACTTGTAGTGTCGTGAAATGAGTGTTCTTTCGCCAGCAAGTTCACTAATCTCATTCATACATACAAGATAGGCTGTTGTACAGCAGCGAAGGCACTTGCAAAGTTTTGCGAACTTCAGGCCCACCGGTTGCTTGAAGAACTACTCCGTATTTAGTTGAGAGGGTAAAGTTAACTTTAGCCTATGCTATTACGTACTGTTAATAAATGCATTCTCCTACGAGCCAGAAAGAAACACGGAAAAAAAAGATTTGCTATGACAACCAAAAACCCTGCTAGTCTAAATTTACCGCCGTAATATACGGACAGCCAGTTTGCTAAGTATGTTGCAGTAATCAAATCGCAAAGCTGCATAGGATTAGTAATTATATCTAATAAAATTTGATGTTACAGCACGGTAGATTTGTTAGTAGAGCAAAGATGATTCTTTACTACAACCAATGGAACACGCGCGACAAGTTGCGCGTAATCTTGAAGCGAATTCTACGTCTTCGTTTGTTCCAGGGCAATGTTTATTGGGGAGCTGGCGGAATCTAGACAGACTGAAGTAACGATACGCGACATAGACGAAATGGCTATGGAGTTAATCGTAGACTTCTGTTACACTTCTCACATTATCGTCGAAGAAGCGAATGTTCAAACTCTCCTTCCAGCAGCGTGCATTCTTCAATTAGCAGAAATTCAAGATATGTGTTGCGGATTTCTCGAACACCAATTAGATCCATCAAATTGCTTGGGTATCCGGGCGTTCGCGGATACCCACTCGTGCCGCGAACTTCTGCGTATTGCCGATAAATTTACTCGACATAATTTCCAAGAGGTACGCCACGTCCGAGGTATAAGACGTCGGTTTTGACCTCCCGACTTTCGGGATATTTATCGCTTTGGTCCTCGTAGGTGATGGAGAGCGAAGAATTTTT